TCGTCCCCAGAAACAAATATTAAATCTAGTATAAATCAGGGGTCGACAGAAGCCGTTTCCGTTTGTCCGAGACGAACTATATTCATCTCGGACAACCAGACCTCAGCTCAAGGTCAACGAAGTGAAGTAGACGTGGATTAAAGTTCTCTGTCGCCGAGATTAATGTCCGTCATCTAAGAAATGACAGGGGGAAAAACTAGTGTTTTTAGGTCATGTACACAGTATACTATGTACTTTTACCAAGGTCATTTACACATTATACTTTGTACTTTTACTAAGATCATGTACACATTATACTTGGTACTTTTACTAAGGCCATGTACACAGTATACTTTGTACTTTTACTAGGGTCATGCACACAATATACTTTGCACTTTTATTAGGGTCTTTTACACAGTATACTATGTACTTTTACTAAGGTCTTTTACACAGTATACCATGTACTTTTCCTAAGGCCATGTACACAGTATACTGTACTTTTACTAAGGTCTTTTACACAGTATACTATGTACTTTTACGAAGGCCATGTACACAGTATACTTTGTACTTTTACAAAGGTCTTTTACACAGTATACTATGTACTTTTACTAAGACCATGTACACAGTATACTGTACTTTTACTAAGGTTATGCATACAGTATACTGTGTGCTTTTACTAAGGCCATGTACACAATATACTGTGTGCTTTTACGAAGAGCATATACACAGTATACTGTACTTTTACTAAGGTCTTTTACACAGTATACTATGTACTTTTACTAAGGCCATGTACACAGTATAATTTGTACTTTTACTAATGTCATTTACACAGTATACTGTGTGCTTTTACTAAGGCCATGTACACAGTATACTGTGTGATTTTACTAAGGCTATGCATACAGTATACTGTGTGCTTTTACTAAGACCATGTACACAGTATACTGTGTGCTTTTACTAAGGCTATGTACACAGTATACTGTGTGCTTTTACTAAGGCCATGTACACAGTATACTGTGTGCTTTTACTAAGTCCATGTACACAGTAAACTGTGTGCTTTTACTAAGTCCATGTACACAGTATACTGTGTGCTTTTACTAAGGCCATGTACATAGTATACTGTGTGCTTTTACTAAGCCATGTACACAGTATACTGTGCTTTTACTAAGGCCATGTACACAGTATACTTTGTACGTTTACTAAGGTCTTTTACACAGTATACTATGTACTTTTACTAAGGCCATGTACACAGTATACTTTGTATGTTTACTAAGGTCTTTTACACAGTATACTATGTACTTTTACTAAGGCCATGTACACAGTATACTGTGTGCTTTTACTAAGGCCATGCATACAGTGTACATACTGTGTTTTTCTAAGATCATGTACACAGTATACTGTATACTTTACTAAGGTACTACCACACCAAATTCCAGTTCAATATCTGTAAAATTGACTGAGCTGAAGTCATTTTTGTGTTAGCTGAGACTGATTAGCCGTGGCGGCCATCTTGAAGAGGTCAACGTTACATAAAGTGGATTTCTTTCTGCGTGCTGATTAGTGACTAAGGGTTTTCAGGTGCCACAGCTGAGCTCACAGAACAGACTGACTCATGACAGCATTACATGCAGCGTCACAAAGACAAGTTTCTGTTAATTCTGTCGCTCAAGTCAAACAGAACAACTCTGAGCAAAATAAATAATCCACCATTTACTAAAGGACATTATGTGAACAAAGACTTCTAACAGCGCCACACAAACCTGCTCTACAGCTAATGTTTATATATTAACAAAATGTACGACACCTCTGATCGAAAACTACAGAAACTATTTTCTGTTAACATGCCGCGGGAAAACCGAATGACAGCTGAAAAGCAGTTGACAAAGCTAAAAGAAGCAAAACAGTGGCTAAAACCAAGAGTATACATGACCAAGAGTCCTACTGAAAAGTATAATTAGCAAGGGGCTAGCAAACAGCTAAAACTAGCACAGTTGTAGCTAAAAACTAAAATTAGCGATGGGTTAACTCACAGCTAAAAGTAGCAAATTGTAGCTAACAACTAAACATAGCAAAGGATATATAGCTAAAATCAAAAAGTAACAAATGGTAGGCGATGGTTAAAAATAGCAGAATGATAGCTAAAAACTAAACGTAGGACAATAGTAGGTCAGTTAAAATTAGCAATATATTAGCTAAAACATAGCAAAAGCCTAGCCAACAGCTAATTGCAGCAGAATGGTAAATAATCAAATGTAACAAAGGGTAGCAAACAGCTAAAAATAGCATAATGGAAGCTAAAGGACAAATGAGCAAAGGGCTAGCTTACAAGTAAATGTGAATATGAGCTTCAATAAACATAGCAAAGGGCTAATTAACAGCTAAATGTAGCAGATTGATTTCTAAAACTTAATTTAGTAAAGGGCTAGTTACAACTTAATGCAGAACGGTAGCTAAAAACTCAAAAGTAGAAAAATGATAACTAGTAGCTAAAAGAACAAGATCTGTAGCTAAACTTTAAAGTAAAAAGAGCAATTTAACAGCTAAATGTCACAGAATGGTAACTAGAAAATAAAATTACGAGAACAAGAGCTAAAAGAAAATCTAAGTAGAAAAGGGTAGCCAACAGCTAAAAGTAGAACATTTGTAGCTAAATATAAAAGTAGTATAGGACTAGCTAACAGCTAAAAGCAGCAGATTGGTAGCTAAAAATTTGAGTAAAAAGGGCTAGCTAAAAGCTAAAACTAGCAGAATGGTAGCTGAAGCCTAAAAAGTGCAGAAGGGAAAGTTATTAAATAAAATTTGTTGAACTGTAGATAAAAACTCCAAGTAGCAATAGGCCAGCCAACTGCTAAAAGTAGAAGATTGGTAGCTAAAAACTAAGAGTAAAAAGGCCT